TGAGAAGGGTACCTACAAGTATCTGTAACATCTTATGAAATTTATATGATCTTATTTTTATATTAATCTCAGTTATGACATTTTTCCATAAATGAAATATCAAAATTAATAATAAAATGAATGGAAATACAAATAACACAGTAAAATGTAATAAATGTACATGCAATTATAGTATTTTATGTACACTTCTGATAAAATTTCACAAGAAAGGTACCTATAAATTAGTTAGATACCTTTCTTATGAAATATGAAATTTAATCTCACTCTTAATAGACATATTTTAATTTCTTTATAATATATTTTCCATAAAGCATCGTAAACGTAAAGGTGGAAGCTAAGAACAAAAAACAAAACAAAAAAAATTAGAGCACTGAAAGTTTTCCTTAAAAATAATGAGGTAAATAATTCGGTCACTTAAATGTAAATAATTTCACTTTTCTCCTTCCGTAAAACAAATTATCCCCACGGAATCCGTCAATATGTCATTCATCACCTGTCAAGTGACGCGAAAGTTTATGACCTGCTTTGTTTTATTTTGAAATTACATCTTTTTGGTGCAGAAGCTAAGTTAAGCTTGGTTCAAAATATTTTAAATAAACATAATTTCTGATTTTCTCAAAATAAGTTTTGAAAAAGTGATAATTGATATTTAAAAGAATTTCAAAGGGAGATTTTCAGTTTTTTTATAAAATGGAAAAAATGGTCAATTTTGCTGACTTAAAAAAAAGATTTTTAACCAAAATTTCAGGAGTGCTAGGAACGATTAAAAAATATAAAAAAAATACTTTGATCTTTCCTCTTAATAATATCATAAAAATTTAGATGATAAAATTTTGTTTCCGTCAAGTTTGGCATCTTTTTCTTCATGCTATGCTCTTTTTTAGTGATCTCGAAAAGGTATTATATATATATATATATATATATATATATATATATATATTATAAATTAATTGATTTAAAATATGTTTTTTTTCCGCTACACAGTTCTAACCATGTTTCAAAAATGGAAGCTAAAAGCCACGAATTTAATTTTAATTTTGCAATTAAATTTGCTTGAGGATGAAATGGAACTAATATCTTTAATTTAATTGCAAAATTAAATTCGTGGCTTTTAGCTTCCATTTTTGAAACATGGTTAGAAATGTGTAGCAGAAAAAAAACCATAATTTAAATCAATTAATTTATAATATTAATGCTCTGTAAATTTACATTGAGCACTATTTTGTAAAAAATAAAAATATCTATAAGAACACCGGATTATATATCTTACTGTTCTTTCTTTTATTTAAATACATATATATATATATATATATATATATATATATATATATATAGCTGGATTATCAAAATGATATATTTGATATTTGAGGAAATTTAACATAATTAATATTAAGTTATTCTGTGTATAGACACACACACACACACACACACACACATATATATATATATATATATATATATATATAAATGAACATTAAAATAACACTGCATGATGACAGCCATTTGGAGAATTAAGCTTTAAAAATTTACAATAAAAGAATCTAATTTCAAAATTAAAAAAAAAGACAAATGAAGCCAAGCTGGTTTAATCCTTCTATGTCAAAGATTTACAAAAAATGTAGATCAACTTTGGCATTGTCAAAAATCCATGGAAATTTAAGTTGCAAATGGGCATAAGTTATTCTCAAGTTTTGAGCAGTGGGGATAAAAAATTTATAAGACCCCAACTAAGGCATTTATTTTCATCATGTTTGAAGCCAACTGTTTTCAATATCAAGTGGAAATTTTGTCAAAAGTTAGAAAGGATTCAATCACACTCAGGTGAGAAAGGCCGTCATCTGGGACTAGAAAAACTACTACTGCTGTTGCTATAGGAGAAAGAACCTTCTGGATTTGAGATATTTATCTCATATATACAAATGTCTTTTTTTAAACTGATGAGTTTCTCATATTTGAGAATGTCTGTTCTGAAAATCTTAATGTATTGTTTAAACAATAAACAAGTAAATAACACCTGAGATCAGTCATCCTTTCTTCTCCTGTGAACTTTGGAATTTGTGAACTTTTCAATGTAAGTCCTTTTGTTAAAACAATTGATTTACATGAACTATTGTTTTATAAGAAAAAAAAACAGATTTTTATTTCAAAGAACTGTTCATCTGCTTTGATAGTTTATGTTGCACCAGGGAAATTTTATGCAAGGCCTATATCGTATTTTGTAATATTTGTATATGTAGAGTAATTGGTCAAGGTTAAATGTAATTGACAAAATGCCCAACAAACAGAATTGATAAAATTTTCAATAAACAATAAAAAGAGAAAGAAAAGAACAGAGCCTAAATAATATTAAGCAAGTAAACAATATATGCAAGGCAAGGTAAAAAGTTCAAACTAATAATAGTGTTAATACCCTAAAAGGAATACAGGCAAGTGATTGTAGTGTTCCAACTTCAACACAAGAAAGAACAGAACTGAGTCATATGAGACCAAGAAGAGGCCTATCTCACTGGTTAGAAAAAATCTCAGCATGCATTTGTGTGTTTTGCCTGAAACTTTAAGAGGGGGGAAATATTTTGTGGAGAATAGGTGTTGTTTTGGTGATTGTGTTATGGATGTATTTTTTCTATAAATGCATTATTGTGATAGAAGGATTTATTATAATGTATGCTTGAGTCAGTGAATGTGGCTAATTAAGTTCAAGTTATACCACTGATGACTAGCCTATCCCATTTCCTTTTTTGCCTCGTGTCACGTTTGTATTTTTATATACAATAAATATTCATTCCTGCACTGATTGGAAGTAATTGTATATGGCAAAGATGTTTTTGTCATTTTAATAAATATTTTTGTTTCTTTACAAATTTCATTTTGATTAAGAGTCCTGTGTCTTTCATTAACATTATTGAAAGTACTTGTAAGATTAATGAAAAGAGATTTGAAATAGTCTCATTTTTTTTTTAATAATAATACAACATTCTTATGACAAGCTTTTGCAATCCCAATAAATAAGAGGTGTTATAAACACGTGTCTGGTAACACAAAGTATAACATTGGCTACCATCAGCGTTTTATTTTATTTTATTTTATTTTTTAGTCTATAGCATGAAAGAACAAACTAAACTATAGTGACTCCATAGAAGCAAAAGAAGACATGAAATGTAAATATAAAATTCTTTTGTATTGGTGATATAGCGGATGCGAGCTGATTATCTCTAATGTAGGCAAGGGAGGCGGCCTTGATGAAAGGGTGGAATTGATGCGATTGTTGGGTAGGTTGACGGAGGCCACACCAGTATCTCAAGAAAGGCCTGGAGTGAATTACTGAAACTTGCCATTCACAGTGAATGTGACTTGATCGTTTATGAGTAACCTTCTTAAAAGCAGGTTTTAGTGCCTCTTTTGTTCATGTTCATTTTTCTTTGGTGGTAATGTTAGTGATATGTTTTTATTCTACATTTTTTTTTTGTAAGTGATTTATTTGGGGGGCTGGGTGTGATTCTCGGAGTCCCTGTACAGGGGGATGACTTATTTATTTTGGTTTTTGCTTTCTTAGGTTTCAAATACGGCCGAAGTGTTGAGTGAATCAGAAAGATTTTTTTTAGTTTAAAGGGAGTAAGCAAAGACATTCCGACCAATGATATGCAGACATTATTATAATGCCCTGTCGAACAGGGATTTAAAAACTCCAAATAAATCTACGACTTACACAGTCTTTATCATTACTTAACACGCACACACACACATTTATTCTGAATAAAGGCTGATATCCTCTAACAACGACGAAACTATAATTAATTTGTTCCTGATATCGTATACTGCATCCACTATAATTTTTTTTTATGCGCCTCCAAAATGGCAATATTTTGCGATGGGATGTCAATGAGATGACTGACATTTTAGAACATGTTTCCAGAAGAAACACACATGAAGTTAAAAAAAAAATAGTATACTCCAGAGGACAGGGATGTCTGTAAAAACAATGCTGTATAAAACCTTTCAATAATATTGAAATCGACGGTAAAATCATCAGGCTGCATGAAAAAACGAAATGTCAGAAATAATATTATGGTGTTTGCGCAGGGAAAAGCTGTCCACTAATAAAAACACAAATGATGGACAACACACCCATAAATAAACTCTTCAATAATGTAAATAACGTGCATGGGATATACGACTGAAAAAAATTCAAGCACTTTTGGGGGAAGTTAAAAAACGAAGGTCTTCGTCAATAAATGACTTCATTAGCAGAAATAAAAGAGCAAATGCAATCTCTAGAAACGAAAATTCTGGTATTTAACATGAATCTCAACGTCCATGCTTAGAATATTCTTATTATATAGTCTAGTGTTCCTGCTATTTACCTTGAGCCTCTTGATAAAATACAAAAACTATTCAGCAATATTGCTGGTCCTGATCTGGCAGCTCGTCTTCAGTAACTTTCCCATCGACACAATGTTGTCTCTACGTGCCTTGTCTATAAATACTTTCATGGTAATTGTTCGGATGAACTCTTTGCTGTGGTAGCTAAACATTTTAAAAAAATTGGGCTGGCGAGATGTAATCGTAAATTCTATGCTAACAGTTCCTTTTCTCGCACTTCTCGTTTGTGGAACTCCCTTCCGGCTCCACGCTTTCTACTACTACTACTACTACTGTACTGATGCGGCATTCACCCTGGGCTGATTGAGCCGGCTTCTTCCTGTTATGAGAAGAAGATTCTTGGGATAAATTACAGAAGTAGGGTACCCAGGCCTACTCGGATAACGTTCTTGCTTGCCGCGGGGTTCCCACAGACGCAGAGACAGGAACGACCAGAAGCCGCCGGTTACCGATGCAGACGCTCCTTGGATTTTCACCAGAGCCCTTGTTAGCCGGCGTGTGTGTCAGACCTGTCCGCCTTGGGTGGCCCTACCAGGAACGAAGTTCCGGGCGGCATAGCTCTGACACTACCGTTTACACCCCCCCCCACCGACTGTGAGGTAAGGGTTGGACTTTGGGGGCTTACAGTACCAGGTGTTCCCAAGCGGTCCCCCATCTAAGTACTGACCTGGCTCTACGATGCTTAACTTCGGTGATCGAACGAGAACCCGTGTTTTCAGCGTGATTTGACCGTAAGCTCTCCACGCTTTCTAGCCAACTTTAATCTGCAAAAACGCAATGTCAATCGTTATCTACTGTCCTCCTGGTTATTCTTTCCTGTCCTCACTCAATGTTTCTTCTACACTCTGTAACCCCTTGGGTATTAGTGGCTTTACTGCCTTGCACGGGGTGATAATGATTAAAAGTGAATATATAAAGAAAGAAAAGGTGTCCGATGATGCTGAATGACAACGTGCAGTAAAGGAATCGGCTCTTTCCCCTTTCATCACCCTCGATGTCAGATACGCGCTTCCCACCTCTACAAAAACAGAACAGAAACTACACTTCCACAAGCACGTACAGCAATAAAGGAACTGCTCTCTCTAGTTGATCCAAATTCTGAACTCTTTCTTTGCATACCCACTATTTATTTCTTCTTATTCTTGAGAAATTTTAGTTGTTTATTCATTCTATCAGTATATGTCATTTTGTTTTATTATTATTCTTCAATTATAAGCTCTCTCTTCCCACTTCATTATTTCGTCTGTGGTGTTAATTTAGATTCATATTCTCCAATATAATTGTTATATAGGAATAAAGTGTCACTGCCGACACTTGCTTTTGAACATAGATTTGCCAGTGAGCAAACACAGGCGATCCCATTGTGGAATTAAGTAGACCACGTGACCATAGAAGAAACGCATATTTATGAGGTAGCGCGTGTCTCACTTTTCTGCATTTCTAGTCTATCCTCTATTACTATTCCGATCTCTATTTCTATTCTATCCCCTATTACTATACGGACCGCTATTCACTATACTATTTCTCTATTCGGATCACTATTCGAGCGAGTATTAATGAGTAAGTACTATTAGTGCGAGATTATTCGAAGGTGTCTGACACCAGTATTGTTCAACGCCATTACTATAGTTGTATCAGCGGTTACAAAGTATCTACTACAACAAGCATTACGAAAGTGACAACGAGTATTCGATGACTTTAGAAAAGTGGTAACGAGTGTTCAATGACATCACAAAAATATTTCATACTGTAGTGCTCCGATAATAAGAATAGACAATTGTAGATGTCTGTTTACGGCTGCGTGAATAACATGACCAAACAGTTTATATTAAACATAAAATACCACAAAGCATGAAACACAAGAAGAAACAAAATGTTTTTAAAAACATAACATTTGTATTTATTTGTTTGTTGATGTACATGCGCAGAAGTTAAAGATCTGTTGGAGTTATGTCCCTTAGACATTTTTATCTGAACTCACAAAAGTTGAATTAATTACAAAGCTGAGAAATGCTGAATAAACTGTAGTTTTAGAAGAACATTTCAAAGAGAAAAGTTCTTGTTGCATGTTTGGAAATGTTCTGTATGTTTGTAATGTAGGTTGGAAAAGTTCGTACGTACATGAATGCGTGAATATGCTTTTAACGTCTGACCATCCATGGTCGAGACGAGAATCCTGAAGATCACATCTTCTTAGGTGAATGAAGAAAGGAGAGAGAGAGAGAAAGCAAGCTTGTGTCTGCTATTTATAGATAATGTAATCACATGACAGGATCACATCAAATTGGTGGGAAACTTGACTTGGTCACGAGCTGAAAAAATATTTGTACTTGGGTGGATTGCAACGCTCACTTGTGTGTTTATTAACCAATTAGAAGCTGATATCTATTGAAAATATTTACTAAGCTGAGCAGGCTCTCTGATCCACCTTGCGCAAAAATGTACAAAATTAGGCATTGATAAGGAAGTGGTAGCGGGATGCTATAATACTTAACTTATCTTACAGACCAAATGAACGATTAAGCAGTTAACATATTTCATAACATATTTGCATACCGACTCATTATAAAACCCACGATCAAGGGCCAACAGATGCAATCAAAATAAAAATAAAAACATGCACATAGAACAAGTTCAAGCCAAAGAAGACGTCAATACAATATCCGTATGCTTTAAAATTTGGCAATAACACTAAAATCTATACTAAATTTTGTTATGTTAATACCAAGTACCAAGGAAACCATTTTTTCCAACCAGTAAAGGCAATAATTATACCCGGAAGATGACCATAATGTCGGTTAAAGTTTAAAGGTTTCTGGTTCCTAGAAAAGCTGAAATACGTGTCACACCGCTATCTGTCGGACACAGACTATATACTGGACTGTACAAATGGCAAGCCAAAAATAGAGCCTGTCGGAGTTAACTCCTCCTTTCACTCCGTTAACCCTTTCACCAGGGGTCTCTCTTTCCTGGCTATAAATAGCCGCTGACCCTTCACCTCGATCTCTTTTTTTCCTTTCAGGCCTGTGCACCAACACCTCGAGGTAAATTTCTCTTATTCCTAGAGGATTTCAACTATCAGCCTCGAAATGTAGTCGCTAACAAGGAATAGCGTGGAAACACGCTAAGCACAATATACACACACGCACGCACACACTGAATATTCACACACGCACGCACATACAGAATATTCACACACACTTCGTCCTTTGTACTGTTTCCATGTATTGTAACTTGTTATGAATATATATTTGTGTATACATATATTATCGGTCTTGTTTTGTTTGCTTTCTTTTCCTTCTTCTTTGGACTTAATCAAAGTCCGACCTTTTTATGTAGTTGGGCTCGGCGGGCAGGAGTATCTGAACCTTGCGTTTCTTCTACGTCTGACTTCTATCCACAACATGACAGCCACGCCATGAACCCTCAACAAACCATAACCGCCACGGGCCCTCTACAAGCCTGTCTTAATATTAAAAAAAACAATAACGTTAATCTCTACATTTTATAATCACTCACCTCTGAGCATAATTTCAAATCCCCGGTATAAACAATATATATAAAGATGTTTCAGGTCAATTTCATTACACTAGAATTTTTTTGCAACACGCGTCAGCATGGTAAAATCCTCACAGTAGTTAGTATTGTTTAAGTTATCGCTAATATTTTTGTCAAGATTTACAAACTATACGTTCGTTCAATTTCGCAAACCAATCGATGAAATTTGAATTTGTTTGGAAAAATACTTAGACAAAAAACTACTTCGCGGTTTAATAGTTTCTTTTACTTAATTTATAGGACTTCATGTAAACAATTATTTTAAGAAAAAATTATTTATCCTTTTTAACGGTGAAGAAAAAGTTCTTTGGATTTCTTACTCTTGAGCGTGCAACATACAACTGGCCTTGCATAAATATTTTTTATGGAGATAAATTTCAATTTTTGAAGCGTTTGGATTTGTGATTTGTTTATAGTTCTCGCAAACGCATCGTGAACTGGGAACTGGATTTTTGTACATATAAAAGTTAAAAGATATGCAAAAAAACAATATTTTATTTTTATTAATTAAATATTTGTTATTTTAATCATTAAATTGTTTTTACAATAGTGAGAATATTTTGTATATCAAATAATAAAACTTAATTTTTCAAAAAATAATTACTGAAAATTTATTGTACTAAGCTACACCAAGTTAAACCAACTGTACTTGGTGCCCTCTAACCTATTTGGACGCCTCCCCAAAATTTGGTTTCGATCGGTAAAGGTAGATCTGTTTTAGGTGTTACGGACGGACGTACTAACAGAAATCACAGAATTTTAGATATAGAATACCAAGCAGTTTCAACACACTAACGGAACTAAACACCACGCCAACCAATATATTAAGACAAACATGTCCATGCAATGAACACTTACGTTTGAACCCACAAGCATATTGAAACATGTTCCAGCACACGTTTCTGCTAGGGATGCTTGGTTCTTGTACGTGGGTATAGTTGCAAAACTATATACTTCATATTGGTAGGTTTGTAGTGATTTCAGTATTTTCAATGCGATCACTACGCTTGACAGATATCCCATATCCATGATCCCATCCAAGTCTATTCGAAGCTGAATCTGATCAAAGTCTGTTATCAGGTGTCGGGAATCTAAAGGGTAGTGATAACATCCTTTAGTCTATGCATATTTACCGGAGTGTATATAGAGCTATGAATCGCCTCACAGGCTTTTCTGAGGCATATAGATAAGACATTTAGGAGCATGCCATTCGTTTATATATTCATTGCTAAGAGGAATTGAGAGAAACGTCAGTCCAACTTTTTTTTTCAGACAATCACACATTGGAGTAAAAAAGATAACGCCAGCATATCTGGCTTTGGAGTATTTAAATTTCATCTCTTCGACCAAGAGATTTATAAAGATGGCATTATACTCAACAACAAAAAGGAGAGCATAATTTTACAGATATTTTTTAGATGCGAATTTATTATTATTATGACTTAAAAATTGATACGTATTAAACAACTGCAATAACTATATGACTGATATAGCAACGAATATATTGTAGAGTAGGCAGAAGTGAACAACATCAAATCAAAGGAACAAATGACAAACTTAAATACACTGCGTAAAGGCTCCGCGCAGACTTCCGGGTTCCAAACATCCTTCAAATTGTCAATGAAATAAAAATAAATATCCAATAAAATCAGATCCTGCCAGTAAATAAACACAGGCCTCTGGAACCTACACAAGACCATAAAAACCAAATATTCATTCAACTCGGCAGAAGGAGACACGAGTCAACCTCGGCGTCTTGTCTTTCTCATCAAAACAACAGCAGACATTGATCTTGTCTCTCAACTCCACTTTCTCTCTTTCTTACCGAAAGACTACATGTTCATTTCCTTACAGTCAAAGAGAAAAATTCTTTCATTTCATAAGTAATTACAACTAAAATTTGTCTATCCTACGTTCAAATAGATATCGTTATATTTGAACACGCAACACTGCTTTCATTTTTTATGTAAACGGTGACCCATGAAATCTTTCCCCAACAATATCTTCGTGATGGAGACACTGTGAAGTAATGAATAATGGCTCTGAACTGAGGAATCGAAGAAACGGGTACAAATTCCAGTCGAGTTCATTGCATGCATTTACGCGCTAATACCCTTGGGAAACGTATGAATACATTGATAAATAGAAGAACAGACTGGACCACTATAGCATTGATT